GACTAGACTATAGACTAGACTATAGACTAGACTATAGACTAGACTATAGACTAGACTATAGACTAGACTATAGACTAGACTATAGACTAGACTATAGACTAGACTATAGACTAGACTATAGACTAGACTATAGACTAGACTATAGACTAGACTATAGACTAGACTATAGACTAGACTATAGACTAGACTATAGACTAGGACTATAGACTAGACTATAGACTAGACTATAGACTAGACTATAGACTAGACTATAGACTAGACTATAGACTAGACTATAGACTAGACTATAGACTAGACTAGACTATAGACTAGACTATAGACTAGACTATAGACTAGACTATAGACTAGACTATAGACTAGACTATAGACTAGACTATAGACTAGACTATAGACTAGACTATAGACTAGACTATAGACTAGACTATAGACTAGACTATAGACTAGACTATAGACTAGACTATAGACTAGACTATAGACTAGACTATAGACTAGACTATAGACTAGACTATAGACTAGACTATAGACTAGACTATAGACTAGACTATAGACTAGACTATAGACTAGACTATAGACTAGACTATAGACTAGACTATAGACTAGACTATAGACTAGACTATAGACTAGACTATAGACTAGACTATAGACTAGACTATAGACTAGACTATAGACTCGACTATAGACTCGACTATAGACTCGACTATAGACTCGACTATAGACTCGACTATAGACTCGACTATAGACTCGACTATAGACTCGACTATAGACTAGGACTATAGACTAGACTATAGACTAGACTATAGACTAGACTATAGACTAGACTATAGACTAGACTATAGACTAGACTATAGACTAGACTAGACTAGACTATAGACTAGACTATAGACTAGACTATAGACTAGACTAAAGTCTAAAAGTTTTGAACTAATTTTTTAAAGATACAGAAAAGTACTATTTTCCAACTTTTCTATAATTTTCTCTTTGGTTTTCCCTTTTCTAAATAAGTGCACTTTACCTTCTCCTATTTACTCCTCTATTTTACGATCACTATTAAATATATCAAACATTTTATTCTAATTGCCGTCATAAAACATTTCCCGATTTTTGTTTACAGCGTAATCGTAGTTGTGTGAGTTTTTTTTCCAAAACTTTAGAATTTATTTAAATTGATCTTAAAATTAAACTTTAAAACATATACAAATAAATTTGTTTATATAACTAAAGCGTTTCATGTATGCTTGGCTTAAGTAGTAACGTGTATAGGACAGATCATTTGCTATATGGTTGAGCGAGCGTTTGTTACTTTTTATTTCATTCGTGGGTGGCTAGCTGGTGCCATGTTTCTGTTACAGTTTAAGATCGATCGCCTTTTTGTAGAAAAAATTAATTAGTTTGTCGGCGGCAATTAGTAGCTTTTTATATTGAAGCGATTGCTGAGATTTAGTTTTTATGATCTGTGGCTTTTTTGTTCGTCTTGAAACTAAATTAAATGATCGAAGTTAAGAGGAAATGAAAGTTTGTGGTAAAGGTGGGTATGGTATATGGCAACAGATGTTGCAAGGTTAACGCCTTAGGTTATAAAATTAATAAGTTAAAAGCTATAACTAAAAGTCAACTCCTCAAAAGTTGTGGGGATTTATGACATATTATTTTAAGAAACTATTCAATTCCTTCTAGATCATTATACGTTCTGTCAAATCAAAATCCCTTCTTATTTGATAAGAAAATAGTAAGTGACATCTTTAATAACTCAAATCTTAAGAAATTCTTTATTTACTAAATAAATTCCAAAACAAAATGACAGTTCTTTAAATAAATTTCAATAAAGAAGAGATCATAAACCTTTAATTTTATTAAGCTTTTCCGAAAGCTTAATTAAACCTCAAAAAGTATTATCTAAGAACAAGATCTTCAAATAATAAAACTTAAAAAACCAATCAAAGAAAATAATAAATACCTACATAATTTATTTGATTTTCGTTTTTTATTTTAAATATCACCAAACATATGTAACCTTGATACACGGTATCAGACACAATTGACACCTTGTCAGATTATTATAAAACCCTTTTTAAAATGGAATCAAAATTTAAATTTCTAATAACCAAAAACATTAAACAAAATGTTAGAAATGAGAAAAAAATAGGTGTCTTATTAAAATGATCTAGGAAAAGAGATTAAAATTTTTAAATTTGACACTTTTTGTAAATGATCTCCATCCATGAGGCGTAGTAGCAGCAGCAGCAGTTAGAGCTGAATGAATGGAATGCCGCTTATTTAATTTAAGCTAAACTTGAAGTTTAGTTTTTCTATTTTGTTTTTGTGGTTTATTTATTAATTCTTTTCTTGTGAGTAAGTGACCCAATATGGTAAAGAGATGTTGACGTGATCCACAGCAACAACGACAACAACAACAACGACAATAGCAATAATGAGAAAAATGTTGATGATTTTGAGGTTGTTGATGATTTTAATGTGTTGCATTGAAAAACTAAGGCCGGGCTTATGATTTTTCTTTAGATGGTTATATCATGTTTTGATGATTATAATAAAAATGATGTTCAAGTTGAAATGATGATGATGTGTGTCGTTGTCTACTTGGTTGGTGTGTTGTTGTAATTGTTAGAGATGTTGACAACTGGATTTATATGGACTGTTTTGGTCTAAACTAATTTTGGCGTATACGACGAGTTTCTACATTTCTATAAATATCAACTGACTTAAGCTGCCTAATGATTGTATAAGAATCTCTTTGATTTTAGGAGGATAGTATGAAAAGTGATCTTGAGACTACTGGTGGATTTTTAAAGTGAACTAGATCTGAACTAGAACTGAAACTAGAACTGAACTAGAACTGACTAGAACTGAACTAGAACTGAACTAGAACTGAACTAGAACTAGAACCTGAACTAGAACTGAACTAGAACTGAACTAGAACTGAACTAGAAGAAACTAGAACTGAACTAGAACTGAACTAGAACTGAACTAGAACTGAACTAGAACTGAACTAGAACTGAACTAGAACTGAACTAGAACTGAACTAGAACTGAACTAGAACTGAACTAGAACTGAACTAGAACTGAACTAGAACTGAACTAGAACTGAACTAGAACTGAACTAGAACTGAACTAGAACTGAACTAGAACTGAACTAGAACTGAACTAGAACTGAACTAGAACTGAACTAGAACTGAACTAGAACTGAACTAGAACTGAACTAGAACTGAACTAGAACTGAACTAGAACTGAACTAGACTGAACTAGAACTGAACTAGAACTGAACTAGAACTGAACTAGAACTGAACTAGAACTGAACTAGAACTGAACTAGAACTGAACTAGAACTGAACTAGAACTGAACTAGAACTGAACTAGAACTGAACTAGAACTGAACTAGAACTGAACTAGAACTGAACTAGAACTGAACTAGAACTGAACTAGAACTGAACTAGAACTGAACTAGAACTGAACTGAACTAGAACTGAACTAGAACTGAACTAGAACTGAACTAGAACTGAACTAGAACTGAACTAGAACTGAACTAGAACTGAACTAGAACTGAACTAGAACTGAACTAGAACTGAACTAGAACTGAACTAGAACTGAACTAGAACTGAACTAGAACTGAACTAGAACTGAACTAGAACTGAACTAGAACTGAACTAGAACTGAACTAGAACTGAACTAGAACTGAACTAGAACTGAACTAGAACTGAACTAGAACTGAACTAGAACTGAACTAGAACTGAACGAACTGAACTGAACTAGAACTGAACTAGAACTGAACTAGACTGAACTAGAACTGAACTAGAACTGGACAGACTGAAACTAGAACTGAACTAGAACTGAACTAGAACTGGAACTAGGAACTGAACTAGAACTGAACTAGGAACTGAACTAGAACGGAAATAGAACTGAACTGGGACCGAACTAGAACTGAACTAGAATGTAACTAGAACTACTAGAAAACTGAACTAGAACTGAACTAGAACTGAACTAGAACTGAACTAGAACTGAACTAGAACTGAACTAGAACTGAAACTAGAACTGAACTAGAACTAACTGAACTAGAACTGAACTAGAAACTGAAACTAGAACTGAACTAGAACTGAAACGAGAACTGAAACTAGAACTGAACTAGAACTGAACTAGAACTGAACTAGAACTGAACTAGAACTGAACTAGAACTGAACTAGAACTGAACTAGAACTGAACTAGAACTGGACTAGAACTGAACTAGAACTGAACTAGAACTGAACTAGAACTGAAGTAGAACTGAACTAGAACTGAAGCTAAGAACTGAACTAGAACTGAAACTAGAACGGAACTAGAACTGAACTAGAACTGAACTAGAACTGAACTAGAACTGAACATAGAACTAGAACTGAACTAGAACTGAACTAGAACTGAACTAGAAACTGAACTAGAACTGAACTAGAACTGAACTAGAACTGAACTAGAACTGAACTAGAACTGAACTAGAATTGAACTAGAACTGAACTAGAACTGAACTAGAACTGAACTAGAACTGAACTAGAACTGAACTAGAACTGAACTAGAACTGAACTAGAACTGAACTAGAACTGAACTAGAACTGAAGTAGAACTGAACTAGAACTGAACTAGAACTGAACTAGAACTGAACTAGAACTGAACTAGAACTGAACTAGGTTCTTTTAATAGAAATGAAGTAAACTAAATTCAAAATCTGCTCTTTACCTTTTAACAACTTTTCAGTCTAACCTCCATTTTAACTCACACAGTTTCCTTCTCAAAGAACATGTAATAATTGCATTTATTGTTTTTCAAATCATTTTCATTTAGACAATTGATGGTGTAACACTTACAGTTAAAGTGATAAAAGAATTTTAAAAATTTATTAAACTAAAGTGTTATAATAAATATTGATTTTTTACAAAAAAATGCAACTTTAAGATATGAAATAACAAATTTACACAAAATCTTTAACAAAATATCATAAAAAACAATTTATTTAATCTTTACAGTTTTGGACAAGATTGTGCATATGAAAATAAAATAAAATATATTTTGGGAAAACAAGCAAGAAATCAATAAAGATATATTTACTGTTGACACATCAATAACAGCAAACAACTGAAAAAATCTTCGTTTTCATAACAGTTGTTGACTTTTCAACAACGAACGCAAGAGCTATTGAGGAGACACTTGGGAAACCCACTGAAAAAACAACGAAAACCTAAATAAATAAACGCCAAATCATAATGAATTGGCTGAGTTTTAGTGTATTGACGGCGCTGCTTTGCCTGACCCAAGTGGCGTCACTGTCTTTAGATCCAGGTAAGTGTGCTAAGCGTTGAACACAGCAAGATATCGTTTTTAAACAAATGTGATGAATTTTTATTGAATGTCCGTCCATTGATTGGTCTGTCCTATTGTCTGTCCATTTGAGTGCGTGAAATTGTTACTTAATAATAAACAATTGATTACACGTAAGATAAAAAGGGCATTTAAATATTTATTTCCTTTATATGAACAACCACAATAACTGACAACTCTTTATATTTTGGTTCCTTTTTTCTTTTAATCTTACAGTGGCTTCATCAGAACTGGAACAACACATTAAAAAGGGTGATTGTGTTATATCGATGCGTCATATAAGGTGAGTGAATGAGTGGTGACTCTCAGATTTTATTTATTTTTTGGGTTTAAACATGATTTAAGATAAATTCAACATTTTAAAAGATAACATTTTCAAGTAGCCGTTTGTTTTCTTAAACGGCACATAAATAGTGAACAAGGACGTTTTAAATTTTGTTCTTCCTTCCTAGACCCCGTCGCAAATTACACATTTCGATTGAAGCTTTGTTCATGATCGATTTTCCCACCCTTAAACACAAAATGTCTTTCTTTTTGGATCGCAAACAGCAAAGGGTCACTTTGGATATTAGTGCTGCTGGAGATGTGGAATCGTTACACTTCGATATACCTCACACCAATGAGACCAGCACTATACGTTCCTTAGCTTTACACTTTCATAAAAATCGTATTTCTTTGTTGGTGGATTGTAAGGAAACCTCTTCACATGAAGTGGATATGAATCTGACGAAATTGTATACACAAATGGATGATCCAGTGGTTAAGTTGGTAAGTGTGAACAGAACTAGAACTAGAACAGAAACAACAGAACTACAACAGAGCTATAACAGAGCTATAACAGAACTAGAACAGAGCTAGAACAGAACTAGAACAGAACTAGAACTGAACTAGAACAGAACTAGAACAGAACTAGAACAGAACTAGAACAGAACTAGAACAGAACTAGAACAGAACTAGAACAGAACTAGAACAGAACTAGAACAGAACTAGAACAGAACTAGAACAGAACTAGAACAGAACTAGAACAGAACTAGAACAGAACTAGAACAGAACTAGAACAGAACTAGAACAGAACTAGAACAGAACTAGAACAGAACTAGAACAGAACTAGAACAGAACTAGAACAGAACTAGAACAGAACTAGAACAGAACTAGAACAGAACTAGAACAGAACTAGAACAGAACTAGAACAGAACTAGAACAGAACTAGAACAGAACTAGAACAGAACTAGAACAGAACTAGAACAGAACTAGAACAGAACTAGAACAGAACTAGAACAGGTCTAGAACAGGTCTAGAACAGAACTAGAACAGAACTAGAACAGAACTAGAACAGAACTAGAACAGAACTAGAACAGAACTAGAACAGAACTAGAACAGAACTAGAACAGAACTAGAACAGAACTAGAACAGAACTAGAACAGAACTAGAACAGAACTAGAACAGAACTAGAACAGACTAGAACAAAACTAGAACAGAACTAGAACAGAACTAGAACAGAACTAGAACAGAACTAGAACAGAACTAGAACAGAACTAGAACTAGAACTAGAACTAGAACAGAACTAGAACTAGAACAGAACTAGAACAGAACTAGAACAGAACTAGAACAGAACTAGAACAGAACTAGAACAGAACTAGAACATAACTAGAACAGAACTAGAACAGAACTAGAACTAATAATTCTTAATAACTTATTTCCTTCTTTTCTTTTATTCAGTTCCGTGAACGCAAATATCCTCTACATTTCGATGGCAATGTGGACAGTGCTTTGCAAAGAGCTAATTGCCAAAAGGGTCTTAATCGTAGAGGCAATAGACGCATGTTAAAGAACAAAATTTCAGAAAGAGGTAAGTTTATTAATAAATAAACGATATACTTAGGCATAACTGACATTTAAACTTAGATTAAGTCGAAATCATCGATTAAATTTAATAATTTGTATTTCGTTTAAAATCTGTTTTTTATTAGAGAAAAACAAGAAACGTGATGTACGCAATTGGTTTAATCACGAACCCAGCACCAGTGCTGAACAATATCAACAACAAATACCCTTGGACATCGATCGTAGGGGTGACATACCCATAATGAGTGGTGATTGTGAAGGTAAGATAATGCTAAATCCTAAACAAAATGACATATTTTTTTCCAACAAAGAATTAAAGATGGGGTGTGTAGTTGTCACTCGTTGATACAACTGCCTTAAAATGCGAAAATGAATCAGCTTAAAAAGTACTTAAAGATTAGCTAAGCAATCAACAAACAGCAATCTAAATACTGTTGCAGTCAGTTCTGTTCTGTCATTAGCAGCATCTGCTGCACAGCGCCATTAAAATAATCAGCAATAACGAGCATATATGCTGTAGTTACAAAATGATTAGTAGAGAGAAGAGTTGGTTGTATGTATATCTGTAATTCCTACCACTTACAAGTACATTTTTTGATTCTATGACTGTAGTTTTTTTTAATAGTTTCATTATTTATGTGTATTTACGCATGTTTGCATAAATGTTGTTGTAGAGTTTTTTTTTTTTTGGTTTTGTATCTATATATCTGTAGGTTACATGGCCTTAATCTTGTCAGTTTATTCTGTAAAACCTCTACATTAGATGCTATTTTATGATTTTTTAAATTTAGTTTCGATTTGTTTTGTAGCGTTTTACACCGGAGACTTGAGTGACAGGTTAGTTAAGAATAGAGTTTAGATTAGTTAAGAACAGGTATAAAAAATTTTAATTATAAAACTGTGTGCCAAAAATTGCTTTGGACTTGTCTTTGGACAAGTCTATGGACTAGTCTTTGGACTAGTCTATAAACTAATCTTTAAACTAGACTTTGGACTAGTCTATGGACTACACAGAGGGAAAAAGAAATATACACGCTTGGTACCAAATTGGCACCAAAGAGTTTGTAATTTTTCAATAACAACCATTGTCAAAGTATATACATACGTACGACAACACTATGTCGCAACGTTGTCAACATTGCAACAATTCGTTGTCGAAATCTAAATTTTTTACACACACGTTGTCTAAATGTTAACAAACGTGGTAAGCTCACTATTGACAACGGATTGTTTGCAATAGTGAACTTACCACGTTTGTTAACATTTAGACAACGTATGTGTAAAAAATTTAGATTTCGACAACGAATTGTTGCAATGTTGACAACGTTGCGACATAGTGTTGTCGTACGTATGTATATACTTTGACAACGGTTGTTATTGAAAAATTACAAACTCTTTGGTGCCAATTTGGTACCAAGCGTGTATATTTCTTTTTCCCTCTGTGTAGTTTTGAGCTAGTCTATGGAATAGTCTTTGGAAAAGTCTATCGACTTTTCATTAGGCTAGGCTTTGGACTAGTATATGGTCTAGTTTTTGGACTAGTCTATGGTATAGTCTTTGGACTAGTCTATGGTCTAGTCTTTGGACTAGTCTATATACTAGTCTTTGGAATAGTCTGTAGACTAGTCTTTGGAATAGTCTATACACTAGTATGTAGAGTAGTTTTTGGACTAGATTGTGGACTAGCCATTGAGTAATACTGCGGGTAAGCAAATAAACTGCATAGAGTTTTGATACATATCAATATTACATCATAATATATTGAATAAACCACACAAAATAAGAGTTAATCTTAAATTAATTTAGTTTAAACTGAGTTTAAACCAAGTTTAAACTTGCTCAAATAACATTTTCAACTGAATTAACTTGATTTAGACTCTAATTCTAGCAAATTTATAGAATCATTTCGTTAAAAAGAACAAGTCTTGCAAATTAACCAGACGTAAAAAATGGTTGCAATGTAAATGTGTAAGTGTTTAAAAAGTATAGTAAATAGATGTTTATATACCCGACTATTGACTACTATAACAATGTATACAAAAGCAACATATGTTAAACTTTAGTTATTGTTATTGCTGCTGCCATACAATTGCAATACTGCAACCTACACTTTAAATAGGTTGTATGTCGTATGAGTAATTTTTGCGATTAGTTTTATACAATTTTATTCTAGATTTTTTTTTGCAAGTTTTTGTGACATATGTCACTGTAAGGGTATGAATGAATATAGTGTATGTATACAAAAACACAACATTTTATTTATTTTTTTATTTTAAAGTTGACTTGTGGCAACCTTTTCAATACTACTATGGTATATTTACTATAGTAATGTTTTTTCAGCTGAAGTTTTTGTTATATATATATTTTTACAAAACTTACCTGGTTTATTTAATTCCTTATTTTGTTTTCTTTTGTTTTGTTCTTTTGTAAACTTTGTAGACGCCCTCGCAAAATCACTGAGCGATTTAATGGCTTTAGTAAAATTACTACGTGAAGATATCGCCCACCAGCGTCAAGAGATTTCTTATTTGCGCATGCTCCTTGAGAATTGTGCCGGTTGCAAGGAGCCCAAAGGTGATAATAATATACGCATTGAACCAACATGCCGTACCTCAAATCCTTGCTATCCTGGTAAGTAGAACATTTTAAAACAAATTTTTGTAAATTTTAACTAAAGTAATTTTTCTTAATAGTTAAATAATAAATTATTTATTAATAAACCAGTTTTGGTTGTAATGTCCATATTAATGTTTTAAATACCAGTTTGCACTAGTCCTATAAGTTGTCTTTCTAAGACAAAGGGGGTTCTTAAAATTCCTATCTAATAAATTGTTGTCGGCATTGCAAAAGTTTTAAACTTGTTAGTTTTTTTTTGCTCGTTTTGTTATAAATTTATTAAAATTTATTTAATTTCACATTTAAACGTTTTATAATCGTTTGTTTTTTTCTGCGCCATAAAATGTTCCATTTCAAACAATGTGGGAGTTTTTTTCCACCTCTAGCACCACCGCCACCATCACTGTTGAAATACATATTTTCTAATAACTAGAAATATTGTCTTTTTTTATTACCAAATTGGAAAACTATGTTGTTTGTTTGTAAGAATTATTAAAGAAAATATGTATCTAAATATGAATTGGTCATAAAATTTGATCTATAGAAATATTCCAAATATTTAAATAGGTTGTAGTATTTGGAAATTTGTTGTATTGTGTAAATTTTGTCTATTTAATGGACATAATGATGATTTATTTAATATTCTTTGTTTAGAAAAGCTATATAAACTATAATAAGTTAAAGATTTATGAGATCGAGGCCTGTTTTGTGGGGTAAAATTTAAGAAATAAAACTTATTAAGAAAGAAATTTAGAAAATTTTAAATATTATAAGAAATTTATGATTTTTTAATAAAGTTTAAGTATGTATTCTAAGTAAATTTTTATTTTTATTTAAAATTTATTGTTAAACTTGTTTTATTGCAGTTTAAACTGAGTTTAACTAAACTATAATTGGTTTAATTTCTTAAATAAGTTTCATTTTAGACTTGCTAAACTATTTATTTGACGTATTTGTACAAAACATGACTTAAACTTGCTATAGCTTAGTTTAAACTTAGTTTAATTTATCTTGATTTAAATTTAGTTTACTAAATCTGGTTTAACGTCATATTTAAGTAATTTACTTAACGTACTTGTACAAATAATGACTTAAACTTGCACCAGCTTAGTTTAAACTTAGTTTAACTCAACTTTAATTGAGTTTTGTTTATTAAGTCTGGTTAGATATCTTAAATTAGTTTCATTTTATAATTTCTAAACAATTTATTTGAACTATTTGTTTAAATTATGACTTAAACTAGCAATAGCTAAGTTTAAACTTAGTGTAATCTAGCTTAAATCTAGTTTAGTTTATTATGTTGATTTTATGTAAATTGTTATGAAATTTTTCTAAAGTACAAGTACGAAATATGGCTTAATCTAGCATTAGCTTAGTTTAAACTAAGTTTAATCTAGCTTAAATCACACTAAATCTGGTCAAATATCTAGTTTAAATCGAGTTTAGTTTATTATTTAACTTTGATAGCAACTGTTATGTAATTTATTTAAAACTAGCTATACCCAGTGTGCTTTGCTACCCTAAAAGCAATATGTATAAATAAAAACCCACGATTTTGAAGATACTAACTACAATAGTTTTCCAGATTTACAATATGTTACATATGAGAGATGTCAAGCAAATTATTGCAAGTTCAATTTCTATCTATCTATGAAAAATTTGAAGAATATAAGAGTTTCCAAGATACACGAAAGTCCGCCCACCAAAGTGTTCAAATGTATATTAAAATAATTTGTGCAAAATTTTAATAATCAAGTTCTATTAGTTTCCCAGATAAGCGAAATTTTATATTTAATTCATATGGGAGGTGCAAAGTTCCCCAATGAAAGTCCGCCCGTTATACTCTAAATGTTCAGATGAATGTCAAAATTCTTTAAGTAAAATTTTAAGATTCTAGCTCTAATAGTTTCTCAGATATACGAATTTTTTCTATTTAATTCATATGGGGGCTTCAAGCCAATTTCCAGATAAACGAATATTTGTATTTGATTTATATGGGAGGTGCCACGCCTCCTAAGTCTAGGCCGCCTACTGTTTGTCCTAAATAATCATATTCTCACTAAAGTGGCTCCGACAAAATTTGAGGACCTTAACTGTTATATTATCTCAAATATACGCATTTCATATTTTCTTAATATGGCTTCCCGCCCACTTGGAATTTTAGTTTAAACTAAGTTTAATCTAGCTTAAAACGAGTTTAAGCATTTATTTAAAATAGTTTGGAATACAAATGTTATATGTAAATTTTGCAATTAAACCCAGTTTAAACTTAAATAAATCCCACAATATACTTCACCTTATCTTAGCTTAGTTTAAACTTAGTTTAACTATATCTAAACCAGGTTTAGATTATTAATTCATCTTAATGATAGAATGAAAATATATAGATTTCAAATATGAATATAAAATTACATTATTCTAGTTTAATTCAGAGCTTAATCTTGTTTTAGCTTAGTTTAAACTTAGTTTAACCATGTTTAAGCAAGTTTACATAATTAGTTTAACAGAAACTTAAGAGAGTGATTGGTAAAGATCTCAAATATTAACATAACATTACAATACTTATATGAAACACTTTATAGGGATTTATCTTAACTTTTCTCAGTTTAAACTTAGTTTAAACTAGCTTAAATCGAGTTTAGCTTATTTTTTCAATTGCAACTTGTGAAATAAAGTGAATAGATTAAAAGTGAGAAAAACTGAAGAAAATTGTAAAAAATGTCACTTTAATAGAGTCGAAAGGGTACTAGGTGTAGATGCTCCTAGTCAACATAAAAGCCCAGCAAACAGAGCAGAAGAAGTTTAAAAACTCGATTTTGTTTTTGTATTAAGTTAATAAGGTTTTACATTTTAAATAAGAAAGTGTTCACATAAAATGTTCAACCTAATTAACGCCATTAAACCTTTAAATTGTCAGACAAATACAAAAATGACAATATTGTTGCCATGTTTATTTACATTTCGAGAAGAACCGAACGAACCTATTTATGTGGAAATATGTTTAATATGTACTAATAATAACAACAATAATAATAATCTTGTTTGTATTTTTGTCATATTTTAAAGGTGTCGAATGCTATGATTCTGCTGCGGGACCAAGGTGTGGCCGCTGTCCCGTGGGCATGATAGGTGATGGTAAAATTTGCAAACCAGGCGTTACCTGCAGTGATCGTCCCTGTTATATGTAAGTAAACAAAAAAAACTTTTATTGTTTTCTGTTAAGATATTTAATGATTTTATAAGAAATTTAAAGGAAAACAAAAGTGTTCTTTTTCTAAAGAATTGCTTTTAATTAAAAGACAAGAACAATGACTAAACGGCAAACCGTCCAAAAGATAATATTTTTTCAAAGACATTCTTTTCTATATTTCATTTGAAAATTATAGGTTTTAAAGCAATTTGATCAAAAAATGTATTTAAAAAAAGCCGCTCAGGATATAAAATTGAATAAAAAACAAATAGACAATAGCTTTGATAGTTAAACACTTAAGACTTAAACATTGTTTTCTTAAGATATTTAAAGGGTTTGGTTAAAAACAATAAATATTATTTATTTTTATGTGGTAAATAGCTCATAAATTCTTTAAAAAGTCAAAATATTAACAAAAGCCGAACACTCTACACAATAAACTATAAGAGAACTAGAAAGATAAGAAAGGATCAACAGGTGATCTAAACATAGACTAACACAACTGACAGTTAACATAGACTTAACATGCCACATTTACATTTGATAAAAATAAAAATGACAATTTTTAAAAAAAACACAACGAGTGAGGGAACGATCGAGCTAAACGATCATGTTATTTTCATTAATTTGAATGGGTTTTTAATAGAAAATCATGTTTATGTTGTTCTTGTTCTTTGTTGTTTGTTTGTATGTATGTGATCTTCTATTTGGCTCATAAATTATTTTCCAGTCAATACAATAGTTGGTTTTTTTTGTTTTGTCTTTTTGTTTAGTGAGTTAATAAAATCAAATGATTAAATGGATTCTTTTAAGACGCCTCTACCTACAACAGCCGGCAGAGTTATATTAAATCAACTTTTTTTCTTTTCTGTTTTGATAAGTGGAGAGAATCACTTAAGAAAATAACCATAATAATAAAATGGAATAAATTAATATGAATGCCCTTTAATGAGACGAGTTATATATTAATTTATGACAGGTGTATGTGATTTTTGTTCAAATGTGTTTTATTTTTTTTAAATTTATGATTTCCTTAGAGTGAGAATGATCTTTTAGAACAAAAAAAAGTTTGTTAAATGATAAAAGGTTCTAGTTTTGGAATAAATCATTAAAAGTTGATAAAGTTCTAGTTAGAAATCATTATAATGGTTAGGGGCATTCATTTTGTATAGCAAAGTACGATCAAAATTGATTCAAATCCATTTGCAGTAATTGCTAAGTATTGAATCCTACAAGAGTCAAATTCATGTATAAAAACTATTTATCAGGGAGATTTTCCTAAAGAAAATAGTTGGCTACACATATACCTCTCTCTCGAGCCATCTCTCACTTCTGTATACCAGCGCCCCAACGACTAATAACGACTATATATCGGTTACTTTTGTTCTCCAATATCTATCACCATATTATTTTATATAATTATATAGTTCTTGGAACTGATACCTTAGGAAATTGTGTCGATATATGCTAAGTTTTTTTTTTTCAAATTCCGGTCGTTCTGTTTAGGCCAGTCCTTTGAGATATGTGCGCTTGATAATTCTAAAAACTCCTGATTACTTTAAGTTAGTATATTAGTGTAGTTATGGTCTTACACATAAGGGTTAAATACTCATATTATATAGGTTTACATGAAGGTCAAAATATTTGCTCTATAAATATTGCGGTCCTAAATTATTTAAGATTGGATCCACTTTAAATATTGAAATATTAAATCTTATTCAGAAATATATATTGCTGCCAAATGGACTTTATATTCTGAATTCTAAATGATTATCTTTGTAATAGTTGGGATTAGTTTCGATATGGTGTCGGTCACAACATATAGTAAAATTATTGCTCGAATCGGTGTAAAAATCTCAAAGATTTTGCTATTAAGAAAATTTATCTTAAAAAAGATGCTCGATAACTCTATAATCTCCTGATTACTTTAAGCTAATATATTAGTTTCGATAGGTCCGAACTCAATAAGTTAAATACTCATATTGTTTAGGTTTACACGTAGACAGAAATATTTGCTCTATAAAGTGTTCAAATGAATAATCCTGTGATTCTAAATTGATGCCAATCTTTCGAACTATATGAAAGTTGAACTGTAGAATACTCATTCGGTACATCGAAATATTGGTCGTGGACCCACAATAATATATAAATATATTCTGAGTCCCTATTAAATTCTAAGACGATTTAGATGTGTCTATCCATCTGGCTGTTAAAAGCATGATATAGTCCAAACTGGAGGAGTTTTGATATTAAAAATAGCCAATATTTTATCCAGCCCTCATACAAGTAACCACCGGAATACAGTTCTTAAGTTTGTGGTAAAATGTTGTTAGTTTTATATATTCAGAAATGATATGTAAAGTCGGACCTTTAAGACCTAGTCGCTCTATAAAGTCCCTTAGGAAATTGACTTTATCCTTCAAAATACGACAGAGATCAAAGTATACATTTCTAAAGGGTTGAGCTGTGTTGAATCCTAATTTGGTCTCAGAATTTCTCCACCACATCAGGTAGTTGTGATATTGTCTTCTAAACATAGATTTTTTTTACCCCTTTTGACCTTATAAGAGTTCAAAGACACCTCTCTTTATAAGAGTGTTTAGGTCATCTGAAAGCCTAATCTGTCGACTATAAAATAGAGGTTTATCCTCATGTTATTAAAGATATTAATCTAACTTTTTCTTTAACTTTAATCTTTAATGAATATAGGGGTTGATCTCTTTTGTATATTGTTCTTTCTTTGATAAAAATCTGTTAAGATCATTTGAAAATCCATTTTTTTTCACTTTAAAATAACATTTTAATTTCAATTTATAGATGTTCCAAGCTTTAGATTATAGTTATCTTAATCTTCTTAATCTAAAGCTTGGAACATCTATAAATTGAAATTAAAATGTTATTTTAAAGTGAAGAAACTGGATTTTCAGATGATCTTAACAGATTTTACATATAAAAGTATGTTCGAGCTATTGTAAAGTCTCAAATATGGACAAAAGAGAGTTTTTTAACTTAAGGACACGATATCTCGATAATTTGATGTAATTAAGAAATTCTAAGATCAGATCGAGTTCAGAGCGAACAAAAATTCTTAGAATTTAATAGTTATGACATTGTTGAAGTTTTCATTATGATATTTGAAGCATTTTAATTTAGTTTCGTATAAATTTTATTCAAATATTTCCCTTTAATTCTAGAGAAATTCTACTAAAAAAGAATTTTAAATATTTCGATTCTTTATATAATAAAAATTTGATAGTTGTGAGATATATTTAAATCAAAACAAAACGTAACCATTCAAAAAGATGTTCAAATTTTATGATTATGATTGTTTATAACATGCAGGTCTTTAAAAGTGATAATGAAAAATGATATTAACAACAAGTTGTTGATACAATACGCAAGCGGCTATCAGGCTGACACTTTTTACATATGTATGGTTTGTTTGGAAGGGGCAACCAAGCTTCTCTTCTACTCACTCACTCATGCTCGTAATGTTGACAACAATTGAAAACAAATGAAAATGACATAAAAAAGACAATCGTAACATTTCAGATTTTATGCAAATCAATTCAGTTTTAAAAGAGTTGAACAAACAAAAGACAAGACAACAACAGTCAACCAACAACCAACAAGACAAATAAAGTGGAAACAAGGCGCACCTTGTAGTATTTTGTGAAACATACACACACATTAACATAAAGACAGATGAACATCATCGCACACTGCCTGATGTCTGTACTAATGGCAGCTTTTTGAGACACCTACAATACTACTTTACTACAACAGACTATCATCACTAGTTGGTTAATACAACAATGTATGATAAATAGTATATTGGCCAAGCTTGGCTAAGTTGAAGAAGTTGCATAGAAGACCCCATATCAATTTCAGCCATTCATTCTCATCCATTGAATCGTATCAGTTGAAACCATTTCATTTCATTCCACTTCATTTTACTTTATTTTATTATTATGCGTTAGTTTTGTTGCTTTTGAAGCCCTGATTACCTTTATATAGAGTGGAACCAAAAAAACAAAGATTTTAATTTAAATAGTTTATTGTTCTGTTATTTAGGAAAAAAAACTCACACCATGAACTGCACTTGTCTTAGGGTCTAAGCTTACAATTTGAAAATTGGCTTGTGACCCATCTTTTGACATTAATGCTCAATCAGTTTATTGTTTCTGCTTATTTATGGGTCATTATTATTATCATTTCTTTTGTTAAGAAAATTATTATTTAACTTTTTTCTTTAATTTATTGCAAGCCGGTTTTTGTATAAAATCTTTATCTTCATTATTTTAATTTTTAATATATAATTTTTTTTTATTTAAAAAAAAATTTCTTGCATAAAAAAATATTTAGTGGGAATTTGTTTTGTGTAGTTGAGAGTGTGACAAATTGTAAATTTATACTGAAAGCAACTGAAGAAAGCTGTTGTAAAGGGAGTTGTGAAAGATTGTGAAAATCTTTATAAAGAGTGGGTGTCATCATCTTAGTAGATATCTGCCTGGTTGGTTACCAGTGGGTAGTTAGTACCGTTTAATGCAAAAATAAAAAATCACATAAATTTTCTTCTCACATCACTCTTATAAAATGTTGGGAATAAAATGCAGCTGTGTGGACGAACTAATATAAAGGAATAAAAGGTTTGATGACAAGTTATCAGGCAAATATTTAACCCACTAAATCTCTTGAACTAACTATAAACAGTGTTGATGATCTTATCGAAATTCTAATATAAAGCTAAAGTATATTTGGGATTTTAAGCAAAAACTTGAACCATCCAAAAATGTTCAAATCGTATTCCTAATTAGAATTCTATATAAGATCTCTGCTCTTAAGTTAAACCCATCTACATTTCAATTAAAATATGTTTATACCTAATAATTAATTATTTTACCTGAAATTAATTGCCAAGTATACAATTATTTAAACATAAATTACTTATTGAACTTATGCCAAAAAAAACCCACTATATTTACATACTTAGA